CTTTCCAGGGATTTCAAGTGTCTATATTGTCTGCACAAGTAGACTGTACTCTCTTTAAGGGCAAGGCTTTTGTTTTGTGCCTATGGGTAAAGGTTAACAAACCCCTACCCCTAAGATGAGACTCTAACTTTAAGTTGAACTCTAGCTCTGTTCTCCGTGTTACCTGGCAAGTGTCAGAGTGTCGTCAGTGTTTCTTAGACAACCCGGCTTACGGTAAAAATGACCCCTGCCTGGTCACTTCCATCTGAACTGGGATAACTATCTATGAGCTATTAATGGGAATGCCATGCTTTTTGGCCTTTCCTGAGTGCAGTGACACTTGTAACTGCATGTCCCCGTGGCCCCTGAAAGCTACAATTGTTACAAGAGATTTTTGTTTCTGTGGGGCATTAGGCTTTAAGCCAGGGTAAACCCCACACCTCTCCAATGTGGCTCTCACTTCCTTGTACCTACGTGACTATGACAAGAACACTGATTGAAGAGGAATACCTGATGCCACCCTCCTGACAAGCTATGCTCCCATACTATATCCTTCTGAATACACAGAAGAACCATATGTGGCCTGTGGTCATCTAAGGAATCTGAAAATTTAGTTGAACTTAAGAAGACCTCCTTGTGGCACTGCACCACCCTTAGTTAATTCCAGCAAAATGTAGCATCATTTTACTTATTATCTTCCATTACAAAAGCAAAGAACATTTTCAATGCTTTGAAAACTATCAACCCGCACATAAACTCTCACACGAACATTTCAAATTCTTCAACTCTTTAAAACAAAAAAAAGCTTAAAGCAAAACCGGTATCAAAATGGACAAAATTTTAACCAACTACTTCGTAACAATTGTTAGTTCACTACTTCCACATTAATTATTCTGCTGTTTTTTTGTTTGTTTGTTTTATTTTTAGGCCACGGGCAGGGGTTCATGCCTGTAATCCCAGCACTTTGGGAGGCCAAGGCAGGCAGATGACTTGAGGCCAGGAGTTCAAGACCAGCCTGGACAACATGGTGAAACCCCATGTCTACTAAAAATACGAAAATTAGCTAGCCGGGCACGGTGGCTCACGCCTGTAATCCCAGCACTTTGGGAGGCTGAGGCAGGCAGATCACGAGGTCAGGAGATTGAGACCATCCTGGTCAACATGGTAAAACCCCATCTCTACTAAAATACAAAAAATTAGCCAGGCGTGGTAGCGCATGCCTGTAGCCCCAACCACTCAGGAGGCTGAGGCAGGGGAATCGCTTGAACCCGGGAAGCGGAGGTTTCAGTGGGCCGAGAGATCACGCCACTGCACTCCAGCCTGGCGACAGAGCAAGACTCCGTCTCAAAAAAAAAAAAAAAGAAAAAATGAGCCAAGCATGGTGGCATGCACCTTGTAATCCCAGCTACCTCGGAGGTTGAGGCAGGAGAATCATTTGACCCTGGGAGGCAGAGGTTGGAGTCAGCCAAGATTGTGCCACTGCACTCCAGCCTGGGCGACAGAGCGAGACTCTCTCTTAAAAAAAAAAATTAGCCTGGCATGGTGACCCACACCTGTAATCCCAGCTACTCGGGAGGCTGAAGCATGAGAATCTCTTGAACCCAGGAAGCAGAAACTACAGTGAGCTCAGATGGCCCCACTGCACTCCAGCCCGGGCAACAAAGACTCTGTCTCAAAACAAAATAAAAAATAAAAAATAAAAATTAAAACAATTACCCTTGCTCTTTTCCAGCCCACCACTTTCCAATTCCTAAGCCACTATTCTAAATAATCGTCTAGGCTGGGTGCAGTGGCTGATCTCTGCGAGTAGGAGAGTAGGAGGTTGCCGTGAGCTGAGATTGTGCCAGTGAGCTCCAGCCTGGGTGACAAAGCGAGACTCCATCTCAAAAATAATAATAATAATAATAATCTTCTAATATGAAGAACCCTCTTGCCCACAGACTCCACCCCAATTTCTCTACTAATAATTCTGAAATCAGAATGCAGACCAGGCAAGCAATGGAACATCAAAGGTACATCCTAATCCTACATGGGAAGGCACCCTAACTCTATACATCCTCCAAATTCCAGAATGATACATCAGTCACATTGCTTTTATGACTTAATCAGAGCTCCCAAGTTCTCAAATACAAGTAAAACACTAATAATTGTTTAACCAAAAGATGCAATACATTTCAGTGTTAGATGAATCAGCAGATTAGTATAATAATCAATTTTGTTAACACTCTATTAAGCAAAGGCAATGTAAGTATTAACTGTATAGAAATCTATTCTCAAAACCATTAACTTGTTGAATAGTGAGAAAATATAGCTCCTAAATTGCAAAAATTTCCTTTCCACTGAAGATGCTTTTATTTTCCAAGTGACAAAATAATGTCTGCAAGTGTTCAATCAATATGTCAATATCTGGCATGTTTCCAAAGAGTTAAATTAAATGACATGGCACTGAAAGCATTCTGTATATAAAAATAATATTACAAGCAAAGGAGAAAGAGGTTATCCAAATTCCATGCTATGTGACTCTTTGACATCAGATTAAAAAGTTATGGCTATTAATCACCCTTTCGATATCATTCCATACCCAGGAAAAAGAAAGCCACACGTACTTACTTTGTGACAGCCACACTAATGAGGGAAGTGGTTGGAGCTCCTTTCCTTAAGAAGGTTAAAACAAAAAAAGAAAAAGAAAAACTTATTGACAGAAACCATAAATACCTTTTATTATCAAACAGACGCAAAAGTGTGAGAAAACGCTTTGTCCAATCAGACAACTGACAAATGAGTCTAGTAACTGAAATAGAAATCTGTCCTTTAGCTGGGTGTCTTTGAGACCTAAGGAACAACAAAACTTTCATGAACACAAAAATGGCACCAAGCAATTCTGAATCAGCTTGCTGCACTAATCGCAGGAATCATTACATTAACCTCAGCCAATTATGGGAAATGAGTGAAGCAGAAATCTACCAACGTGCTGCATTAACTAAACTTTCCTTGGAAAACTCAGAGAGCCGAGGAAAACTACACAATGAGCCTTTTTTGGATTAGAATGTTGGAAAACATGAGTTTGCTTCACCACATGGTGCAAATTATTAGTCCTCCCAAATATGTCCTATTTTATAGTTTTTGAAATAGATTCAACTGAGTACCATATATTTAAACTAAATTAATAACTAGTGGAACAGACGTAAGCAAAATGAGCCAAAAACAATTGTCCTGATTTTTCTCATTTAATTTCTTCCACTGAACACAAAAGCAAAAAACAAGTAACTGTTTGCCATCTATAATATACAGACATTTTTACTATCAAATATTTTGTAAGTTGAAAAATTTAAGACCTAAATGAGAACACTGACCAAGTGCCTCAGAATTACTTGGGAGTTTACTATCAAAGTTTTACTAGCCAGGTGCAATGGCTCACACCTGTAATCCCAACACTTTGGGAGGCTGAGGCAGGTGGGTCACCTAAGGTCAGGAGTTCAAAACTAGCCTGGCCAACATGGTGAAACCGCATCTCTACTAAAAATACAAAAAATCAGCTGGGCGTGGTGGCACATGCCTGTAATCCCAGCTACTTGGAAGGATGAGGCAGGAGAATTGCTTGAACCTGGGAGGCGGAGGTTGCAGTGAGCTGAGTTCACACCATTACACTCTAGCCTGGGCAACAAGAGTGAAACTCCATCTCAAAAAAAGATAAAATAAAGTGTTATTGAAGAAGCCAGGTGTAGCGACACACACTTATAATCCCAGTTACTCAAGAGGCTGAGGCAGTAGTATCTAGAAATGCTATTTTTATCACTCACTACTAGAGAGGAAAGTGAGCAGGTCTTACCAGAGGCAGACATTTCCACAGATCATGGCAATGGCATTGTTCCAGCCATACACTGCCACAGGGAAATTGAATGCCGTGATGATTCCAACCAGGCCTACAGGATTCCACTGCTCAATCAGCGCATGGCCAGGTCCTGAGAACAGGAAAAGGATGCAACATGCTGAAGCAAGTTAATTTAATGTCCACCAAGTTAATAAGAACAAATGTATAGCAGACCGGAGAAGATTTCAGGTGCCTTATAGTGGGATATTGCTATACAGCCGTGGGATATCGGTACATTAACTAATGTACAACAAAAGTGGTTATTACTATACTACCTTATAAATCATAATGATATTCATTATGCCTCTGATCTTCATAGGACTCTGCATAGATCAGAGCAGTATCAGTGCACCTGGGAGACAAGGACACTTTCTGGAGATGATGGGTGCCCTAGGTGGTATGAACACAAAGGGCAGAACATGACCAGGGCACAGGGACTTAGGCCCACGTTCTTTGTTTTGTTTGGTTTTGAGTCAGTCTCACTCTGTCACTCAGGCTGGAGTGGAGCGGCGCTATCTCAGCTCACTGCAACCTGCACCTCCCAAGTTCCAGAAATTCTCGAGCCCCAGCCTCCTGAGTAGCTGGGATTATAGGCACACACCACCATGCCCAGCTAATTGTTGTATTTTTAGTAGAGAAGGAGTTTCACCATGTTGCCCAGGCTGGTCTCAAACTCCTGACCTCAAGTGATCTGTCCATCTTGGCCTCCCAAAGTGCTGGGATTACAGGAGTGAGCCACCACACCTGGCCTCCCATATTCTTTATGTTACCTGATGAATCCCTGGGCCAACATCTCTGAATTCGAGACAAGATGGCTCATTTATTGGTGGAAGATGGGACGGGGGAGTTCTAATAATTATATATATATATATGTTGAATAAATGAATTATGCAGGCCAGGCGCGGTGGCTCACGCCTGTAATCCCAGCACTTGCGGAGGCAGAGGCGGGCGGATCATGAGGTCAGGAGTTTGAGACCAGCCTGACCAACATGGTAAAACCCCATCTCTACTAAAAATACAAAAATTAGCCGGGTGTGGTGGCACGTGCCTGTAATCCCAGCTACTCAGGAGGCTGAGGCAGGAGAATCGCTTGAACCTGGGAGGCAGAGGTTGCAGTGAGCTGAGATCCTGCCATTGCACTCCAGCCTGGACAACAGAGGGAAACTCCATCTCAATAAATAAATAAATAAATAAAATGAATTATGCATATCTTTACATTCACTATAAGAAAACTAAAAATACAAATAAGCTTAACAGTGGTTCATGCCTGTAATCTCCAGCACTTTGGGATGCTGGGACAGGAGAATCACTTGAGCTCAGTTTGAAACTTGGATGAACATGGCAAGACCCCTGTCTCCACAAAAAAAAATTAAAAATTAGTTAGGTGTGATTGGTATATGCCTGTAGTCCCAGCTACTTGGGAGGCTGAGGTGGGAGAACTACTTAAGCCCAGGAGGTTGAGGCTGAAGTGACCTGTGATTGCACCACTGCACTCCAGCTTGGACAACAGAGTAAGACCCTGTCTCCAAAAAAAAAAAAAAAAAGAAAGAAAAGAAAAAGAAAATACAAACAAAAATATTGTATTTTAAATACAAACTTTAAAGTCACCCATTATCCCTCAAGGTGTTTATTTTAATTAAAGGCAGCTGGAACAGTATAGAACCATACCACAGGAATACAATGGTTCACAACTCCTGGTTAAAACCACAGATCAACTGGAAAGGCGGCTGTCCCAGCCATCAGTCTTTCTGGCCACACTCATACTGCTAGCTAGGATGGGGGACCATACCAGATGCAGCACCTCACTCCTGGGCCCTCCTTAATCTAGGCACCTTAATCCCTAGAGATGAAGTGCTGGCACAGCCTCTGCCTGGTAGGGCTCTCCTCCTCTCCTGCCCTCCCATCTCTGCCCTGATGTCACCCCCTTGCTTATAACCCTCTGGAGTTTGGATACTTACTGTAGCTATTCTCAGAATAAAGTCCAATCTCCTTGTCAGAAAAAGTCCCTTCCCAAGGTTCTCTTTCCAGTCCACCTGCCCTACCACTGTACCCTGCAGCTGTGCTGAAGCAATGCAATCCCCCCAAATAAGCCAGACTCGCCGAGCTTTCACACAGGCGTCTTCCTTCTTTAAAACAACTTCCAGCACTCCACTCCTTCTCCTCTTTGTCCCACTTGGGACCTTACCTTGGCTGACCGTCTCTTGGAGGCCTTCCCCGACTGCACTCACGAGGCTGGGTTAGGGGCTCCCAGCTACGTGCCCACCATCCTACCGTCTACTCCCTCATATTACTTACCATGATGGAGTATGCTGGACATAATTACCTGTTTATTTATCTCCCACTGTAAGGTAAAATTTATAAGCTTATAAATCCCTTGAGGACAGGGACTATGCCTTATAGATTGAGTATCACCTAGTAGATTACCCGGCACCTGATAGATGCTCCGTAAGTATTTATTGAATTAATAAAGCCAAAGTTACCCTAAAGCTTCTACATAGATGAGTAAACTACTTTTAAAAAAAAAAACAAAAAACAAAAAAAACTGTAAGCTAGGTGTAGTGGCTCATGCCTATAATCCCAACACTTTTGGTGGCCAAGGCAGGAGGATTATTCGAGCCAAGGAGTTCTAGACCAGCCTAGGCAACATAGTGTGACCTCACCTCAACAAGAAAAATTTAAAAATTAGCTGGGCTTGGTGGCATGTGCCTGTAATCCCAGCTACTCAGGAGGCTGAGGTGGAAAGATTGCTTGAGTCCAGGAGGTCCAGGCTGCAAGGGGTCATAATCACACCACTGCACTCCAGCCTGGGTGACAGAGATCCTATCTCAAATAAACAAACAAAAATGTACAAGCAACTGAGAAATGTTTTAATTGTGAGGCAGGCATCATAGTAGGTACAAATCAAAGGAGTTACCTGCTTGCACATGTACATGTCCCCAAATTGGAGGTTTATTAACCTTTTTTTGAAACGGAGTTTTCCTCCTGTTGCCCAGGTTGGAGAGCAATGGCGTGATTTTGGCTCACTGCAACCTCCACCTCCCAGGTTCAAGCGATTCTCCTGCCTCAGTCTCCCAAGTAGCTGGGATTACAGGTATGTGCCACCACGCCCAGCTAATCTGTATTTTTATTAGAGATGGGGTTTCTCCATGTTGGTCAGGCTGGTCTTGAACTCCCAACCTCAAGAGATCCACCCACTTCTGCCTCCCAAAGTGCTGGGATTACAGGCATGAGTCACTGCATTGTTATTAACTTTTTTTAGCTGGAAAAAAACTCCTGAAAGTGTTCAATGACATAAAATTAATATTGGATAATGGGAATCATTGCTAGATATCTAATTAAGGACATTAACTGTATATTAAAAAGACTCCCCCAACTCTTTCTACAAGAAGGGAATTTACTTAATATTCGGAGAAAAAGAGAAAAATATGATTTTTTTAAAAATATTTATTTCCTGATTATAAATGTAACCTAATAACCATCATGGAAATTTAGAAAATATAGAAAAATAGAAGAAAATCCACTACTAATAATTCTGCCACAGAGATAACCACTGCTACCACTTTAGCATACATTTCTATCCCAGCATTGCCAATACAGACACACAGTCACCTGTTTTGCTCCATCCACATTGGAAACATCAAAAATCGCACACACTCTTAACTGCGTTTTTTTGTTTGTTTTTTTTTTTTTTTGAGATGGAGTTTCGTTCTTGTTGCCCAGGCTGGCACGATCTTGGCTCACGGTAACCTCCACCTCCCGGGTTCAAGTGATTCTCCTGCCTCAGCCTCCACAGTAGCCAGGATTACAGGCATGCGCCACCATGCCTGGCTAATTTTGTATTTTTAGTAGAGACAGGGTTTCTCCGTGTTGGCCAGGATGGTCTCTAACTCCTGACCTCAGGTGATCTGCCCGCCTCGGCCTCTCAAAGTGCTGGGATTACAGGTGTGAGCCACCATGTCCAGTTTTTTTTTTCTTACTCTTGCTGTCATCTTATTATCTTCATTGTTAAAATCTCAGAGTATAAGATTGGTTCTTACAGAACAGCTTGTAATAGCAAAACACTGAAAACAACCCTACATATACATCATTTGGGAGCTGACTAAATAAATTATGGTCTCTTTATATCAAAAGAGACAGCAGCAGACACAGATGAAGGAAGCCCCTTAATAGACTAACATGAAAACAATTTCCAGCCTGACACAGTGGCTCACACCTATAATCCTAACACTTTGGGAGGCTGAGACAGACAGATCACCTGAGCCCTGGAGTTCGAGACCAGCCTGGGCAACACTGCCAAATCTCACCTCTACCAAAAAAAAAAAAAAGTCAGGTATGGTGGCGTGCCCCTATAGTCCCAGCCACTCAGGAGGCTGAGGTGGGAGGATTGCCTGATCCCGGGGTTGTTGAGGCTGCAGTGAACTGTGATCGTGCCACTACATTCTGGCCTGGGCAAGACAGTAAAATCTTGTCTCAAAAAAAGAAAACAAAAAAACAATTTCCAAGATATATTATTGAATATAAAAGTATAAAACAGAATGTATAGTTTGCAGCCGGGCACAGTGGCTCACGCCTGTAATCCCAGCACTTTGGGAGGCCGAGTCGGGTGGATCATGAGGTGAGGAGTTCAAGACCAGCCTGGTCAAGATGGTGAAACCCCACCTCTACCAAAAATACAAAAATTAGCTGGGTGTGGTGGTGCATGCCTGTAATCCCAGCTACTCGGGAGGCTGAGGCAGAAAATCGCTTGAACCCGGGAGGCGGAGGTTGCAGTGAGCCGAGATCACGCCACTGCACTCCAGCCTGGGCAACAGAGTGAGAGTCAGTCTCAAAAAAAAAACAAGAATGCCTAGTTTGCTATATATTTGGCTGTACAAGCTCTAAAAAAGATACACAAGGGCCTAGCAGGGTGGCTTACGCCTATAATCCCAACTACTGGAGAGGCTGAAGGGCAGGATCACTTGAGGCCAGAAGTTTGAGACCAGCCTGAAGAACACAGCAAGATCCTACAAATATAAAAAGGACACACAAGAAACTGAAAGCATTCACTACTTCCATGGGGTACTATGGCTTAGCCACAGGGGTAGGAGGGAAACTTTTCATCCTTTACCCTTTTATTGCTTTCTAATTTTCTGATATGAATCTATCACCTCTTCAAAAAAAATTAACATTAGTATAATTTAAAAACAAGTAAATAAAACCTTCCTGTAAATGTGTGGGTCAGGGGAAGACAACCTTCACAAACATTATTTTTAGTACGTGCTAATAGTCTACTAAAATTGGCTTACATTTTTTCCCCTTATGATTCGACATTTAGGTCATTTCTAATGTTTTTAATTGATGCCACAATGAACTTCTTTACACATAACTTCTGTCTCATTTCAGATTATTTACTTAGATTCTTAAAACTGGGCTCTTTAAAGTTACAGCTCTTTGGGCATATTTCCAAATCATTTTACAGATGAGTTAAAAGTGTCTAACCATGCACTTGCCAACATTAAGTTTTATCTTTAAAACAAAAAGGTTCTTGATCTAACATTTTCATGTTTTAATTTACATTTCTTTGAAAGATTGAGGATATTTTCACCTATTTATGTCACTTTAAATTTCTCTTATGGCCGGGCGCGGTGGCTCACGCCTGTAATCCCAGCATTTTGGGAGGTTGAGGCGGGCAGATCATGAGGTCAGGAGATTGAGACCATCCTGGCTAACATGGTGAAACCCTGTCTCTACTAAAAATACAAAAACATTAGCCGGGCGTGGTGGCAGGCGCCTGTGGTCCCAGCTACTCGGGAGGCTCAGGCAGGAGAATGACGTGGACCCGGGAGGCGGAGCTTGCAGTGAGCCGAGATGG